GGAGCTTCAATGAGCGAGTGAACCCCCTATTTGCTAATGTTGTCCATTCATTCATTGCAATAAAATATCTTCTTAAAAGGCAATGAAAGTTATAAAATCATTATTTTTTATGTGAGAAATAAGAATTTCAGACCCTAACATAGAGCGCCTAGGACCTGGGCGAGGTGCATACCCCAAAATGCGCCTCACCTGTGTGCCTAGGCGCGCCTAAGGCACGCCTTTTAAATCACTGAAGTAACCCTTCTACAACCTAGCTCCACCCCACTCTTCCAATAATAAACTTCATTCTATCTACTCCCTACTCATCAAACTCAACATTACTAATTAACAAGTTTCTGTCACTTTCCACTTCCACCCATACATCATAACCAATCTTCCCTTTTATCCACTGCATATTGCCTCTAACCTACTTATGGCCTCAAATGTTTCATGCATTCACATCTGTCAAAACCCCCATCAATATGCTCCAGTGTTCAATTAACAAAACATCCAAACAAATGCCATTTATGACTATTGATACAGATCTATTAACCACTAAATTGGAAGCACCACTTGAAACCTCAAATTCTTTGACACCATCCCTAAGCTAAGATGCTTATATACAACATCACAGTCTTCATCTCTAAGGCTGTGATTGGTTTGACAGAAAATAAGAGAGAAAACGAAAGTTGAGGGAAAGTTCTTTAGGCATTTTACAGATTTTCTTAAGAACTTTCCCTCAACTTTTATTTTCTTCCCCTTCATCACACCATGAGTGAAACTCCTTGCTACTCCAGCATCATCAATGATATTTTCAGCAACAGAATGAACCTTCTCCAGGTCACTGATACTAGTCTGTATGGCAGACACTGATGAAGGAGAGACTCCATAAACCTTTCCAATGTCCTCCCCACATTGTCCCCCCAGAGCCACTTTGTTTTTTCAATATATGAACCCTTACCATGGAGACCCCCTCTCAGTGTCCTTCAATTAGCACCACTGTACCACCTTACTCATTGCAAAATCCTCCACCACCCCTACTCACTACCAAGATCACATGCATATTTTTTTAGCCCCAAACTTTAAAATTGCATGCTCATTAAAACCTCTTAGTACTGGTTGCACCTCACTCTATCCTCAACATTTTTCAAATGAAACCCTAGCTGTCTTGAAATTCCCCCGAGCTCCCACATGTCATGAACCCGACCTCGTGATGCCCAACCTCTCTCTGAAAAAAGACCCCACCATACCTCCTAGCAACCTTTAACTTATCCATAAATAAAAACTTGTCCCGCAATGGATTTAARTACCCCTACCAAGGAATCTTCCCTCATCTTCAACCTCYCAATCAAATCTTAATGCCTTTCCAATTTCATCTATGAATGAGGATGGAAGACTGCATGTCTGTGTAAGAGGAGAGAGAGAAAGAGAGAGAGAGAGGATCCCAAAAGTACTCTCAAGTCCAAAAATAGCCCTGTTATAGTCAGGTCCCGTGTCATGTACTTCTATGTCATTATAAGATCCGAATACACCTGACTCAATCTAAAAAAACCAGGGAGATCCCCACAGGTTAGACAAATTGGTTAAGATTCTGCCACCACTAGAGATTTTTTAAGTTACATCAATCACAACAGGGTATATAACTCCAAAGCTAAAATTGCCAAACCTGATTCTCCAAACGGAGATTAAGAGCTGCAAGATTTGATATGGTACCCTGACCAGTTTCCTCGTGCACGATTGCCTCAACCTGAAATAAAGTTTTCATATGATAAAATTAAATCAACCACAATACCACATACAGTAGCATATGCAATGATGGTCAAGATAAGAAGCCTAGTTTCACATTTCATGTTGCAATGCTCCTCTGTGTCTTAAAAACATAACATGATAAAAATAAAGAAATGAACTATGAGAGCATTTTCAGTGCTTCCACAACATGCAGTTTCATTTCCGCTGCTTGTTTCCAGGCCCCATGGTGTCTAATCAAAATAATACCAAACAAAGCATCACCATGGTTTAATTTAATGACAACTCTGCTTATGATCCCCTGCTCCAAAGATTTTCAAGCCAGCTGAATTCCCACCCACTCTTTTATTTCATTTTGTGCAACTAAGCTAGACAGCAACTTCTTTGAAATTGGATAATCCACTATATTGTATGCGAAGACATGATACTATCATTTCCTTCACAATCTTAGTAGCAATGCTGACCCAGAAAAGGGTTAAAGGTGGGGACAAGTTTTGCTATCTACCGATCAAAATTAAAAGTTTTGCTATTTCAAATCTCAGTACTTCTCTTTTTGGTTTCACAAAAGCAGGAAAAAATGTTTGGCCAATTTATTAACCAAAACTGCTGAAAGAGAGTGTAACGTTTGAAAAATCCATGTGTATCAAGACTTACAATAGCCTTATAGAATGCAATCTGAGGAACTGAATATTTTGTCCCGAGCTTGGACTGTTCATCAGCTACGTTATTGACCACGCCATAATAAACCATTCCATCATATTGGTTACGGCAGCCCCGTAACTCAAACTGCACATAAGCAAGCTCCTTATTTATTCTAAGTAAATAATCATTCAATATCTGCCGATGGCTACCTGCAACAAATTTGATACACAAAAGCAAAAACTCCATATGAATTATTGAACCACATTCGAAACCCAAAAATCTAGAAAACGTTTTTTTTTTTATTTTTAAGGGTAAATATATGTCAAACAAAACCAAGGGTATATATTCTACTGAGAATTTTGAAAAGCAATCAAGTTTAAACAGAAGAACAGACGACTATTTAAAAAAGAGAGTTAAAGTAACAGAAAAAGAGAGAAAAGTTGAGGATGAATAAGAAACTGCATTAACGTCGTTCCCAATTTCAGAATTTTCAGAAAGCACTTAGGAGAAAACTGAAATAAAGTAATATAAGACCTGGGCTTTTCCCGGTGAGGCTCCTAAAGATGGAATGGAATTCCTCCTCCTTCAGAGGACCCCGTGACAGTAGAGCTTGTATGAGAGTGTGGTGCTTCCAGTTCAACTCCGGCATGTCAACTGCTTCACAAATGAACCCTTGTAATCTTCAAGAAAACAATGAAAAAATATTAAAACCAACATAAACCTTAAACTTGCATAATCGATGCGTTGTGGAGTATTAACAGATAAGGAAGCACTAACCAAAGCACAGATTCAGTTCGGAGTAGAAAAACCCTGCAACAGAGAAGGGAGAGGATTGGCTTCACCAAATTCCCGCCAAGAAAAACGAAAAGCACCGGAAGAGGACTGATCCGAACTAAGCGAAGTGCCCATTTGGGAGGGCTTTACGGCAATGTCACAATGTCAGTGCCTTTGAGAATTGGGTGAGAAAAGTCCACTTCGGATCCAGTGCGTTGGTATTAACACGTCACCGGATGCTGAGTTGGTATAAACTTGCTACGGCTAAACAACAACGGAACTAATTTATAAGTACGGAAGATGTTTCTATGCATAGTAGATATACCTGTGAGGTCGGTGTAAGGTGCCTGTGTGAGGAGCAGATTCGATCCGCACTGTGCTGACCWATTGCACTCCAGTTGTTTTAGGAGCACAGTTGCGCTGTGGTGCATCAAAGCTCACTTTTTGTGTGTTCTCTTTCATTTAGATTTTTTTTATTTTTATCTTTGGGTTCCCATCTGCATTGTAAGAGATTGCTCTTCTAACTCTAAGGAGACGTAAATGATTGATCAAATGGTTCTTTGCAAAAGTAAATAACTGATCAGAGAATCTATGCCATGTCAGCACGTCTCCAATCACACTCAAGAGATGTTTGGAATTCCAAAGCATCTTGTGCATAAGATTTTGGTTTCAAATGTTAGTATTCCAAACGTCCACCGGTCTCTCCCTCTTTCTTACTTTCTCCAACATTGCAGACATGAGCTAAGATATATAGTTGCAGTTTGTAGTTGCAGAGTTAATTTCAGAGATAGTTTCACACATCTTCTATAGTTCTATGTTTTGTTGGTTTTGAATTGCATATTTCGAAGTTTTTCAAATCTGTTTTTTTCTTTTATTTATCAGTTGTTTTCAGTTTTATTTTAGGTTTGTTGCAGATTTCAAAGTTAACAGTTATTGACCGTTAACTACCTTTTAACAGTTACAATGTTTGAAATTGTGATTGTTCAATGAGCCTTTTCTGAACCAACATTTTCATATGCTCCATGACTCTTTAGAAATTATTTAAGGAGTATGAATCAAACAAATGAACACAAGCTTTTCAAAAATCACTCTTGTCTCTCTCAGCTCAATATGCTATTATCTCACATAAGATTACTTCAGAGACTCTTCAACTTTACTGGTTGTAGATTCTCGCCCAAGGCTCTATTATATCCTGGGAATGGATTTGCCTATAACCCAATAGCAATCTCAGTAAAAATGAGTAGGGACAAATAACATTCTAAAAACAATTCCTTTAGACATGCCTCAGAGCTTCTCCTCCAAGTTTCCGTGACCCCATTTTTCCAACATTTATAAATTGCAAATTTTTTAGGAGCGACTGCAAGCAATGTAGACTAGACTACCAAGGGGAAAAACATAGAGTGTATGCCCAACGATTTCCTTTCTTCCGGACTACCGAGGGTAAAAACATAGAGTGTATGCCCAATGATTTCTTATTCTTCTTCTTCTTCTTCCCTCCGATTCTCCCACCTGGGCTTTTCCATTCTCGTGTTGCATCTAGTCCTCAAGCTCATCCATGCATGGCCTTGTAGCCTTATGAACCAACATCAGAGATTCATTGCCAACTGGCCAATGCTCCTCACCAAAACATGAAAAATGTCAAAGACAAATTTATAGTGCCTACCTACCAATCAAAGGAAAATAACAAAAATTCAAACTTGCATACTACAGTTGGAGAGTGTGTTCCATGAAACCCTAGACCTCTCAATGTCCCCCCTCTGCTCCATCTTATTCTTTCTAGTTCTAGCTGTGTGATTTTCGGGTCTCTCGTTTTATTTTTAAATTTTTAAATTTATTACTTTAATTCCATTTAAATATTTTTTGTTATTTAAGGTTTTTAAAATATTATTTAGTTCTTAAATTGAATAATTTGTAAAATTATAATTTATATTGTTATTACATAATTTCATTATGAATTTTAGAAAAATATAAAATTATTAATAACATAGATATTATTAAATCTATTATAATTATTTTTTGTAGTTTTAATATTTTTTAAGTTATTACATAATTTCATTATAACATTTAAATAATTCTTAATTTTTTAATTCAAACTATCTTTGGATAGATATAGGTGAAAAGTAGGGAAGAGGATAAATAGGAATTATAGATAATTTAAGTGAGAAACTCTCTACTAAACTGTAGATAATTTAGGAGATAAATTGGAATTAGAGATAATTTATGAGAAATTGGATGATAGTGGTGCCACTTGGCTAGGCTAGACACTAGAGAAACAATATCTCTTTCTTGTCTTGAGAACTCTCTTGCCACGTGGCTTATTTAGATGCCTAGGTAGGGTGAAAGGAATCAAGGGAGAGACTCAATGAGAGAGCAGGGATGGGGTATGGGAGAAAGGAGAGAGTGTTTAAGGAGAAAGGAGAGAAGGGGAATGGAAACCATCTCTCTCTCTCTACTATCTATCTATCTATCATGTTGGCTTTTCACTCTACATATTTGCAGTTGTACTCACTCCAAAATTGACCCTAAATGAGAGCATTTGCTCTTTCATCTATAGTGGAAGATTTTAAATAGAAAGTACTTATTAAGTTCCAACTCTGCTATAATGAAATTTATACTAAACATTCACATGAGGAATGGATTATTTTTGGGTCATCCCCCTTATTGGAGTTTAAAACCATTTTAGCGGTTAGTCATCTTCAAATTTATAGTGTGTATAACAAATAACATGTGTATTGTTTGTATATGTATCTTAAATTAATCATTAACGGACCTTGCACATAGGGCTCATCCAGAATTTCTCTTTCAATCACTAATTCAATTAGCTTTCTTGCCAAAATAAAAGAACAAAAAATAAAAAACAAAAGAAACGACTATATAGTAACCTCAAGTCTTTTTGCAATTTCCACAAGCTTAATAAGGTATTTCTTCTTCAGCACAAGTAAAGTTGGTAACTTATCTTTAAGATTCACTGTTCGAGTGTATTGTAGAGTATTACCTACAAACTAAGACATAACTCAATGAATAATTTTACATGATGAACTTGGTTCCATCATGTGATGTGTGAGTCTTAGGAAACAACTTGAGCTGATTTAGCATCACCACCCATCATTTGAAGGAAATGGAGGTGATCATACCACTAAGAGTTGCTTTCAAAATCATTTTTGCTCGATAGTAACACCAAACCCAAGGCACTGGCTAAACCAGTGTAGGTAAGACTCGGATGAGAGAGGGAAGAGATTAGGTACCCCTTCCCCAGGTCCAATAAGTGGGGGCCACATGATAGTCCCAAGGCAATCACATACATAACTGCAAAATTCTTAATCTTAACAAAAAAAAAAGTCCAAGGTACTTGCAAGAAGCAAGCAAGAACAATCACCATAAGAAACTTCCCCCTTTTTGTCATTTTTATTATTTATTTAGCCTATCATATTTTTATTATTTACTTTTATCTTTTTTTGTCTGTTTTATCTCATTGATTTTTTAAAACATTGTTATTATTATATTATTTTACTTCTTATTCACCCTTATTTATGTATATATTTTTATATTATTATTTATTTGTTATTTTTATTATTTTTTTTATATTTTATAGATGTGTATTTTATTACTTATTTTGTTTCTTTACTTTTTTATCATCATTTTTTATTTCATTCATTTTTTGTTCTTACATTTATTTGCTTATTTATTCATTTATTTATCTATTTATTTATATTTGTATTATCATTTTTATATTTTTATTTTATTGTTTCAACACTTCCTAAGAACACCAGGAACGACATTGAATAACAGTTAACGGTATCCTAAAAACAAAGCAAATATCAAAAAACAAATTTATATTAAATAGCTCAATCATCAAAAATTAAACAAAACATACCAATAATCCCTGAGTAAACTTTGGTTTACCAAATTGAATCCTCACGAATCAAAGTTTTTGATGTGGCCTAGAACTAGGGATCTTTTGCAATCGAGAACTTGTTCCAAAGAATCAAGATTTGAAAATATAAAGGTTGAAGATCAAATGAGACTTGGTGTTATAGAGTAGTTACGGGAACAGAGAGGTTAAGAATTTCTAGGCAGCAATGACTGATAGAGAGTTTTTGTCAATTCATTGAAGATGGAAAGCAAAACCAGACATTTGTTGACAGTCTAGATCTTGCTGTAGAGATGAAGAATAGGGAAAGTGGGAATAAGAGAGAGAGAGTGAGTGAGTGAGTGAGAGAATGATAATGAGAGAAAGACAAAGAGGGGGAGGAGAAAAAGGTGGCAGAGAGTGGGATAGGTGGTAGTTGAGACTCAGATCTATTGCTGCAATGACAACTTGCAATGATGGAGAAGGTGGAGGATAAGGAATAGAGAGGAGTGTGTAGGGGGGAGAGAGAGAGAGAGAGAGAATGAGAATGAGAACAAGAACAAGAGAACGACAAAGAGGGGGAAGAGGAAAAGGTGGTAGAGAATGGGATAGGCGGTAGTTGAGACTTAGATCTTCTACTGCAACAACTTGCAACGATGGAGAAGGTGGAGGATAAGGAAGAGAGAGGAGGGTGTAGGAGGGGAGAGAAAGAGAGAGAGAGAGAGAAAAGACAAATAGGGGGAAGAGAAAAGGGTGGTAGAGGGTGAGATAGGTGGTAGTTGAGACTTAAATATACTGTTGCAACAACTTGCAACAATGATGAGGTGTGGAGGATAAGGATGAGAGAGGAGGGTGTAGGGGGATGTGTGTGTGTGTGTGTGTGAGAGAGAGAGAGAGAAGGAAGAAAATTGTTGTGTTATAGTAGTAGAAATTGGAATGGTCTGATCGGGTGTTTAGGGATGAATTTGGGGGGTTCAGGAGGAGGACCAATAAAAAATTGGATGCTAACAGCTGCCCTTCTTTGTTGTGAGGTAGCAGGCTATGGAACAAAAAAGACTAAAAAAAGCATACGAAGATTTTTTTGAAAGGGTAAGCTAGGAAGATGGTCGAGGTGAGGAAGGATGATTCCCATGTAGCATCACCCCATCTTGAAGGTTGTTTGATTTTAGTAATAATGGCCTTTCCAACAAGTATGGATGATCTTTTGGAGTGAGGCTAGTTATACACCTCGAGGTGAGAAAACTTGAAATTTAAATCAATAATGTGCCATGTGGCGATGAAAGCAATAATAAGATCTCGATTAAAAACTGTAATGTTCCAACATTGCGAAAAATTTAAGTGCTATGCAATAACAAACACAGGTGATTTGTGATGTGCCAA